AGCTGTCACCAAGGGAGGGCTTTAGCCTATGCTCATGCCCGCTCAGGGCTTGGGCCCACCTCTGGCTGCTTGTAAGGGAAAGAAAGCTCCCACTCCAGCCACACCAGCTCAGTTACTGGAGTATGGATGGACAGAGCATTCAAAGCACGAATCTTTTTATTTTAACTCTTCAACGCTAAGTCCAAAGACTTGCTTGCTCTGGAAGGGCCAGCTTTTTTTTTTTTTTTTTTAAAAAAGAACAATCCACACATCTATATGGTAGAACTTATATTCAGGGAAATTATGCTTTCCTTTGACTCTTTCCAAATCCCATCCCAAATGGCATCAGATATATCAGCAACTTCGTCTTAATATTTTCAGCATTCAGTGCATAGGCCTGCCCCCGAGCAACCTCAAGAGTGTTGTGAATTCCCAAAGCTGCTGTTAGTTTACATCTCCCTCACATTTCCAGTGACACCTGCTAGGCAGATATTTTTCTCCATTGCTGTTTTAGTTGTGTTGCAGGTTGCAGTTCATCAGACTGGTGTGCATTTTATCATGCATTACTGCAGTTTTCCTCCTTTGGGTCAATATCTTTCCTGAATGGAAACCTCAGTTCTCTAGCATAACAGAATTTTAAGGTTTAGTTTTGCTTTTTTTTTTTTTTTTTAAATATGGTCAAATTTTGTTGGTTGGTTAGCCCATTAAAAGAGCACTACAAATAAGGCACTCATATCTTTTTAAAACTCTGGATATGAAAAGCAAGCCAGTGCATTTTACCAAAACAACTCAATTTTAGCACTTTCAGATAAGAAAGTAATACACTCCTGATAGAGGTAAATGCTGCTGACATATCAGAGTCTGCTTACCAGGATCTGATGCTCAGCTTTGTCCTGTGTTAAGGGACAACATCACCTTTCCAACTGCCTACTAGAAGTGTGGGAGAAAGGGAATGATTAGCAAGGCAGAAAGTATGGAATTATCCTATGAAATCTGCTTTTCGATGAGGGACTCTTCACCTTGCAGGACACAGTTCACTCAAAATATAATTGATAGTCTCTCTAGGCATTTAACTGGAAAAATACAGCTGGAGATCACAGCAGCAGGAGTTTCAAAAACAGATGTTGCGTGAAACATCCTGGGCCATCTGATTTTAAAAACACAGCTTTCAAGCCTTCAGTCAAATCTTTCCAGAAAAAAATTCTGGAAATTGTGGAAAATTCTGCCAGATTGCCCCATAACAAAACCTGCTGCCAGGTCTCTCCAACAAGGCTGACCCACTGGCCAGGAGCAGGGCAATGAGGTGCATGGACCATGCAGCCCAGTGGGGTGCAACGAGCCGGGCTCTCCCAGCAGCTCAGCTGAAGCAGCCAAAGCCGGGCCCAGGGCATCATTTCGGCAGCGCCCAGCAAGGCGGGCTGTACCGCCGGCCAACGCCGTGCTGCCGGAGGAGCGCTGCCCCCACGCCTTCACATCCCTATCTGGGCACGCTTTGCCTCATCGATACACAGTACGGAACTGAAGCGTAAAAATGGCTCGGAAAAGCTTGAAAATTATCCTCGAAGTGAACCAGTCTTAACAGAAAGCTTCAGTACCCCCGTCAAGAAATGAAATGACAATATCCATGTCAAAGCAGCTCCTCAAATGCCCGCCATTTCTTACCTGCAGGGAAATCTCGCCCTTTTTCCCCAGTTTGTTTGGCATTTGTTAATGAGGTTACAGTGCCATCTCCTGGAAGGAAACAAATTGTTGGAATTGCTCCCGAAATTTAGCTGTTTAAATTTCCAATCAACTGTGTTCATACAGGTAGCTAACACACTAGAACCTGTCACGACAGTGCAACACAATGAAATAATAGGGCAGAAAAAAATATGTACATTAACCGCTTCTTTTTGCTAAGTGGACATACTGTAAACTGTTATAATGAACACAGGGAAACGATGGAGAAGTTGCCTTTAGCTATAGCCTAATCCTTTCAGAGGAAACATTTCTGTTCCATTTTTAAGAGGCAATGTCAGATTCCACGTGTAGAGAAGCAGCATCGACAGAGCACAGACCTGACCAAACAGGTCCTTAGTTGATTCAAATGGAAATTTAAGGGTTTCTGATTGAAGTTAGAGGGTATAATCTTTCGAATGCTTTTTGGTTTTAACATTATTATGAAATGAAAATGTCATTTCTCATAATCAAATTGTTTTAGATTTACTTCTGATTTTTTTTAAAGATGAATAAGAAATGCATAGTAACAAAACCATTTTCACATAAAAATGCTCATTAGAAATCATTTTTATATAAAATATTACTACATATTTTTATTTAACATTCAGCATTAAAAATATTAAAGAATCTTTATTTTTTGAGATGACTAAAGTTACTTCTCCAAGGCTGATGCTGATTACTTACATCCAGGAAGAACTATTGCCTCAAAAATTTGAAGTGTTGAACAATTGAAAACATTTATTAAGAGACTCATCCATTCTCAGCTACACATGTACACCTACAGACACATATCTAGTGGAGATATCCGTGTTAAATTAGAGAGCTGGTTAAATATATATAAATATATATTTTATATATATATATGATTAGCTTAAAGGCTTATCAACAAGCAGGTACTTTAATCCTGCAGCCATATTATCATATTAAAATACTCCTAGGTACTTTGTTATAGTCATGGTGCACTCTAAATACTTGGGATGATACAAGTTATCATGAAGAAACAACAGTTGTTCTAAGAGTTAGATGATTAAATGATTAACATCATTTGTGCACTATCCCATGCAGTGGAATATTTTACCTAGCGTTTAAGTTACCACATCCAACTCTACGAGTAAGAGGAAAAAAATATACACACAGTTACAAGATTAAAACACTTCAGTTATAAAACAACTTTTCTCTACATTAAAAGGTTTTAAGACTTGATATTTAAGGCTCTTCCTGAGAAATCTAAGAAAAATGAAATCAAAAAGTCATAGCTATTTAATGATCCAATCAATGTAACGTAATACTCTTGGGGCATCATGTCTCTCCTCTGGGAAAACGGTAGCGTCTGCAACCACTACAAAATTGTACTTGTAAACCACTGTTAAATGGGTAAGATGGAGCTATAAGAGTAACTCTTTACACAATGCAATATCTTGCTTTTGAACATAGAAATAACTTTTAGCACTGTGCTGTATTTACCAACACAGCCAGGCAGAAACATTTGCGTTTTTCTTTAACAAAGACCAACAACCAGTGAAGACAGACTCCATCGTGAATAGACTATTCTTTGGCCACATGATCAAACAGCTGTAAGAATAGATTTATCAAAGGCACTTCTGATCCTCTTCTCAGATGCTATACTTTTAATAAACCTATTTCCACTGCTTTGTCAAAGAAATAACTGGTCTGCAAAACACAGTGCATTAACTATGACATCTTCGTAGTCGAACATATTATTCTGTATGCAGTCCTCAGACATTTCCTAGGGCTCCTGTTTCTGACAAAGCCAGTGTTACAGAAATGACTTCTGTTTTCATTGCTATAGGCTGAACTCCAGATAAAACAACAGAAAAGCATGTAAGATCTCATCAAGACAAGCAAGACTATTTTTTGTAGTGACATAAAGCAAACATTCACAACAAAAAACTTCACCAGTTTACAACCCCCGAGAGATCACTTTCTGACATGTCCAAGTACCAGACATAGTCTACAACATTAGCAGGCCCCTTTCTGAGGAGGGAGATGTGGTCTATCTCTTTCAAGGCTGATTTTAAAAGCTTGCCAAACAAGTTTGGGGGGGGGGAAAAAAAGAAAACAAAAAACACAAAAACCAAAATCCATAAGCGTTCTTGCTTTCAAATCATATTTATCCACTAGACCATTTGGTTGCTTGCTTTACTTGATTAGTTAACACAGCCGCATTTCAAAGTTCCCTTTATTGCAATGATTAAAACATTACTATTACTTTTAGCTAAAACATGCTGCGAGAGGAATCTTTTAACATCTTGTAATTTGAGGTGTATTTTCCAAAAAGAGATTGAGGCAAGCAAATTCTGAGAATGAAAATAAAATTGTACACTTATTAAAATTACAATTAAAAAAGACACATCAAGAACGAGCGTTGCATCCTTGGAGCAAAGTGCATTGAACTGAAGCAGCCAGTGGCAAACGAACATAAATTCACTATCTCAAGTTCCCCCACATCTCCTCACCTGTTGCAATGTGAAAGGAACAAGGGAGGAATAGGCATGACCAGACTCTTTCTGCATCATCCAGGAATATTGTCCTCATCTTACAACAGCGTATCATGCTTGGCATCCACACCACATAAAGCTCTGGCTCCTCATCGTACATATCTAACAGCTACGCTGAGAAGGAGTTTCCAAGTTCCCATCTTTCTGTAGTACAGAGTGCGCTTTGCTTACATGATCTAGCTAAGCATAGAGATGACATCTGCATTGCAATGTTAGCTTTTGGGTTGTTCTTAAATAAGTATTTCTTTTGAGTCATTCCTGCAGTTTTTAAAGAGCAACTCATTCTCACCTCAATGTCTAATCTCAAAGACATACAGGATTTTACCAGGTCTATTCAATTAGCCTTACAAGCTATTTTTTCCCAGTGTGCACCCCAAAACAGGAAAAAAAAATACTTTGACCAAAGAAATTTCATAAAATTCTGCTGTATTCTTCTTGCCATTTTCTACAGAACTGCTTAAACCTGATTACAGAGCTGCTCTTGTTCTTCTACAGGTCAAAACAGACACAGAAAAAACTAAACCCAGTCAGTTCCCAACTCTGTTTCTGTCCTCTTCCCAAACCATACTTCAAACTCATTCTCAATCAGAGAGAACTTGGATACAGTTTAAAAACTTCATTTGATAGCTAAGCTATTAAAAATAGTGGAGCAATAAATGCCTTACAATACCAGTATGAAAAGACAGATCAAATGCTAACCGTTTATCAAACAGTAAAATAATGCAGATTCACATTTTTATGTCATGGCCTTCCCTCACCCTCCTTCTACTTTTATGTTTCCTGAACAAGCTGTATTCAACCATCTAACAGACCTGAAATAACCAATTTGAGGAACCAGAAATTCTACAATTTCAGAAAGTTCTTTTCCTTACACAGCCCTTGGTAATATCCAACTGTTTCAACGTGAATAAATATTCAAATCATTTCTTGAGAAAGCATAATTTCCTCTGCGGGTAAAAATTACTTAACCTGTTTTGATTTTTCTTGTAAAACTCTACATAGATCGACTGAATGCACAAAGCTGAAAGTTGTTCAGTCTCATTACTATTCTTGACTTTTTCTCCTCTGGAAAGATTAAAAAACATTATGAAGGATATTTCTGCAGAACATCAGCTCACTACAGATTTACAGAATTGTATTTTTCCTCTAATTTTAAGAGGTCGAGAGTGAAGGAGTAGAACAGAGCTGAAAAAAATTATCTAGTTTTTAGAAAATGACCTGCAACTTAGGTCACTATGTCTATCTGTATATTCACCAAACATGAACAGTGCATAATTTGCCAAACCAAACAAGCGAATAACGAAGTCTTTAATCTTCTAACCAAGTAAATCACTTTCACATCAGCCACTTAGAAATGCAAACGCTCTTCTACCATTCAGTCCACTTAACAGGCCAAAATTGAGAGTGCAGCAGTTCAGAATATTTTGCTTTGCTTCCCCCGCCTCAGGTACTGAACTCAGCCATCTCATCCATCTGCAACCTCAGTGCTACAGTTCTCTCTAATTCTGATGAGGGCATGGTTTTTGTAAACATGCCAAGATCTGAACTACAGATGTGAGTTTTCAACTCACAGCATTAGGGAAAACAAAAACTCGGTGCAATTCAGTCACTTTTTGGTTAGCATCCTCATCCTAATACAGGCTCACTTTGTATTTAGCAAAAAATACACTAAGTTGTTAGACTTCTTAGTGTGACTTCCAAAAAGAATCAGAATTATGGGAAATACAAGTATTTTTCATTTTCTTACACATCCCAAATTTGTTGTCAAAAGTGGCAGCAGCTGGGAAGGCAAAGGAATCAAAGTAGCATCTCCTATAAATCGCTCAATTAGAGGCAGAACTTGGCCACTAGACTGCTTTGCAGGCACCAAACAAATAGCACCCTCTTACTGGCGAGCTGGTCGAGAGTTACAGCACATAAATTCGTTGCACAGTGAAAGAGTTCAGAGATTTAGGGGACAAGGCACAAATTTACAAGCTATTAGTCATGTTGCTCATGGAACGTATTGCTTCATTTTGTCCTTTAGTATGTTTTTAATAGGCTAATTTGGAAACTTATACTGTTCTTACAAGATATTTTAAATTTCATTAAACTTTAATGTGGGATGTTCACTGCAAGGGTAGAGTGGCGGAACTATGAACTTCCTCAAAATTTGCTTTTGGTTGCATTTAAGCACACAGCATCTCTCAGAGGTCCCAGAAGAAAGTGGATAATTCATGCAGTTTGTAAAAGAATTTTCTTCATGCACAGTGGAATGTAATAAGGATGAAAGATATAAACAGTCTTCCTGAGCATTCTAGCAAATAATCTTTGTAAGGCTCGGAGAAAGAAAGTGATGTCTTCTGGAGGACTTTTTTTGAGATTACACTCAAAGGAAACATTCCTTTAGCAAGATTGCCTAGAGAATCAGGTGGGAATCACAGATCACTCTTCTATTCTTCATCCATACTGTGTGGATAACATTTCCAGACTATAGAGCTGGAACAAAGACGCAAACATTGTTTATATCATGGGAAGGTCAATAAAAGCCCACAAGGGAAAAGCCCACCACAGGTACCAGTTCTCTTTCATTTGCACACAAATTTGAGGCTGCTGAAACTAGTATGTATTAGGCATAAGACGTTTCATAGTCACACTAAGCAAGTTATGTTAGGTATAATTTAATATGCTTATTAATCAAGTAATGGAGTGATAATAAATCTTACTGTTTGAATCTCATGAAAAAAAACAAACATAAACACACTTAAAAAAAACTTCTGGCACAATCATGCTCACTGCTCCAGTATTTTATTTGTACCATGATCCTGAATCATTCTGGGTCTAGAAAAAGGACAACTGTTGATCACAATTACGATCTTTGGTGGCTCATACTGAAAGATTTTCCAGTAGCAGTAGCAACCACAGGTGGTTTCTGGGCAGATGAGATCCCTCATCTGTTGAATCTGAACATAGTCATGAGCAAGCATCAAGTTTTGCTATGCAGCAAAAATTACCCTCTAATGGAGTGATTTGGGAAATGACTACACAGTTAAGGATGAAGCAAACAAGTACAAAACAACTCCTTTATCAGAGAAGAACGTCAACACACAAATAGCAAACGTTTTGGGATCACTTTAGGAAGTACCTGTTTGCTATAAGAGCCTAAGCTACCTTGCTCCTTAGGGAAGACTGCAGAAGGAAGAGGCGAGTAGCTTGCCAGATATCTTCTGCAATTGCAGAGGCCAATCTTCCCAGCAAACAAATAGGGAACTTAAACTCTCTTCTCTGCTAAGGTTTGTCTCTATGTACAGGCAAGTGCTTTACTGATGCAACACTTGATTCATTTGTCTAAAGAAGAGTTAGAGGCTTTCATTTTTGAGTTTTCAGATAAAACAAATGATTCTTTTTTTTTGTCCGTGGCCTACATGAGTGATTGTATGTAGCAGGAGCAGTCAAAATAGTATTTAACATAACCTAAATGCTCAAAAACAACTCTCAGGCACAATGTTTATAGATTGTGAGGCAGGAGCTGAATATGGCTCAAACTAGAAAAGATTTCAAAGGCTTCTTAGAGGGCATATTCTTATTAAAAGGAAATAAACAGAAATAACCTTGTAACTACTGACAAAATTATCGCTTCTATTACAAACAAGTAATATCTGTTCTTTATGGAATTCACAGACATACTGTTGCCTGTCACAAAGTCTATATTCCCCATCACCACAGAAGGTGATAGAAAAAACCTTCCAAAATCATAGAAATATCCCAGCAACCAAGTAATACAGTTGAAAGCTTGAGATGTAACTTGCACAATTATCATTTTGAACTTCCTTATCAATTTTTCCTCTCATTTATATTACAGTCATGTATCAGACTACATGAGAGCATTGAACAAAACAAAAACCTGCCAACAGTAAAAAAGTTACCACGTACAAGTTTTTCATTCTGCTGCATAGATACCTCTCCTCATTTTTCCTAAGTAGCAAGTTACAAACAGCAATGCACTGAAAAGTAACAAAGTCTTGAAAGCTGAATAAGAGGTAAACCAGAAATATTTACTTTACATGAAGCAGAAACTCTAAAATTTAAGTAGGTTCTTGGAAGGCAACCCAGCAATATTGCTTTATCAAAAGATGCATCTTCAGGGGAAGCGATACCAATTTTGCAAGTTTGACTCTAATGAAGTGCAAAGTTTACTTTTTAGCAAGCAGTGAGAACGCACACATTCCTATAGGAGAATTACTGTGCTCAAGTTCAGGCATGAACTACAGCTTCCAAGCATCAGCGCAACTCAAAAATCTCATACCATCACACACACACACACCCCAAAAAAAAAACCCAGCACCTTTCAGAAATCAGGCATAGCTCCAAAGCTTCTGAAACTGTCTATTAAAAGGAAAGCACATCAGTTTAGTAGCTGAACAGTAAGTTTGCAGGATACTGGAAACACTTCCCACTTAAGTTATATAGACAGCATTTGTTTGAAACCAGTGGAACGTACACGGTTCAATACTTGAAGGGTGTTTCTCCTCCCCGCCATAAGTCGTTAGGAGCCCTCAGGAAGGATGGCACCAAAGTAACCATATGATTAAGAGTCCAATACTTCTTCAGTTGAAGAGAAGATAAGCAAAGCTGGAAGTTGAAAGGAAGTCAGCCACACAAGAATGATTTTTAATTATTAAAACAGAAACATTGCGAAAGAGTGAACTGCAAACTTGTTCTACGCCAGGAACATCTTTACTATCCTGAACCAAGTGACACAATTTAGTTCTTAAAGTCTTCAAGCAGCAGTACTGAACTGCCTCCAAGTTGTCAGGAGATAAATCCACATATGAAGGGAAAGAATTTCCTCAGAAAAAAATATATATATAAAAACTGAAAAATTAAAAATTAGTAACTTTAAAACCTTCAGAATAAAAGCCTCTTCAGTATTATCATGTCTCTTTGTCAAAATACCTCTGCAGTACTTTTTTTTTTCCCCTTTGTCTATTTTTAAGGAAGCAGCAGGGAAGAAGAGAAAATACTCAGGTTCTAGGATCACAGAAGTTCATAACGTGCTAATTACTTTTTCCTTTGTTCTGTAATTCCAATTTTACAAAAATTGGATCAAAGGCAGAACATAAAAGAAAGGAGTATTCTCTTTTGATTTTACTTGAGGAAAATATTTGCACTTTCAGATTTCACTTTCTTTTTATCAGTGCTGCATTTCATCTAACATCTGTATTCCACCCACTGTGTGGTTGTGGTTCTCAAACACACTTACTTCTTCCCTGGCTCAGGGTTACGTTCTAAAACACAGTACATAGCCTAAAATAATAGAAACTTTTGTTTCTTTCAGAGGATGAATGATTTTTTTTTTTTTTTTTGGAATGCAGTCTTCTCCTCATCAAAGGTTATGTAGAAGCATTAAAGCTTCATGGCTGGAAAGACTTTAAGAAAGCCTAACTCCCTACCAAGGCAAAATGCCTGATCCTCACAAAAGCAGCTCCTGCTGAGAACATCCCCATTTCACCAACACTGCTCCTGGAAAATTAATCCACCTCCAATCAGAGTTGAAAACTCTGATTTCTCCTCCCTCCAAACTCAGATACAATGAAAAATATATAACTGATACTAATAAAAAGTTCACTTTTAGTGTAAAAGTCCCTTTGGGCTGTGACCCTATTACTGAGGGGCTCTTCTAGAGCACTGAGGCAACGCTCACAATCACAAAGCCTCCCTGTTCACATTTTAATAGTGCAACAAGTAAAGCTCACCATGACCCACTGAGGAGGAAACAAGGACAAAAAGTAATGAAGAGACCAGTATCTATGATATTTCCACAATTAGTTTTAAAAAATAGTAACAAAGTACTTTTTATCTGAATCTTAAAGTAGGCAACAAGGAAATAACAAAATACAGGTTTTAGGCTTAACCTTTTGGTGTTCATATGGAACAGGTAAAGGCTAGCTTTCAGTCAGAATGATCAGGGGGTTTTTTGGTTTGTTTTTTTTCCTTTTTAAACTCTTAAGGCCACAGGTTACTTTGCTTTCAAAGTTTTCCAAGGTAAGAGGATGGAAGGAAATACCACTACATATAAGAACGGGGGCAAAGTCACTACTAGAAATCAGCTCAACAGAGCAGGGTGAACTTGTTCCTAACATGACTGAGTTATATTAAGCCAAATACAATAGTCACATAAATGAACTTTTCATTCACAATTCTAATTTGACTTGATGTCAAAATTATCCTTTCATGCAAGAAAAGTGATGTTGCCTGCATTTGAACCAGATCAACTTCATACAAACAGGAGTTGTACTAGAACTCTTGCTTAGTTCATAAAAATACAATCTGAAATTAGTTCAGCTGTTTTATTTTGTCAACTGCTATGCTAGATGTAACATTCTGAAGGAAAATTTGAGTTAATTTACATGATTAAAGTGCAATGTTAAGGTACCTGCAGTTTTCATTCCATAATTTTAGAAGAGACTTCCCTTGCAAAGATGGCACAGTTTTCACTCAAGATCACAGCATACTGGACAACTTTCCCTACTGAAGACATTCATTACTTTTGAAATATAAAAATAGTTAAAGGCAAGAATCTACACTGTGAGGAATGGCCAACCATTTTTACAATTAGGTGCAAGTTCACTAAATTGTCTCAGTTGCCTCTGTGCAAAATCAAGAGGAGCAAATTCTAATCATACTGGGAATCTTTAAACAAAACACAAATTCTGTAAGGATCTCTTAATGAGGGTAATTTCATATTTTAGTTTCAGATATTTACTGTTAAAAGAAGCTAACCGTATTCCTGACATCATCCATAAGAGAATTACGGAACATAATTGCACTAAAAATGCAAGTACACCAGATTTATCAGAATACTGGGATAGACAGGGGGGAACACAAACCCCCTCAAAACAAGCAACACAGTAAAGTCAGTGGAATTTCAGCTCCTAACCTAGTTAGATTCGGTAAATCCTAATAAATCATTTCAGTAATTGTGCTGCAGTTATGACCCTTGCAAGCCTGTCTTCCTGCCTTAAGACTGCTGAAATATCCAACAGCTACTTGGAGAGAATACTTTTGGGATGCGTTCAGTTTACATGGAAGACTTAATTTTTATGTTTCCACCTGCTTCACCAGTGGTCTAAGCAAAAACTACCCTCTCCTGCGAGAAAGCATGCACTACATAATATACATCTCAGCCTTCTCTTTTGTCCTTAAGCTTGCTCTCCTGCGAGGTATTATAGAACAAAACAAAAATTACTTGTACCCACAACATAGGTATTGTGTTAATTCACAAACACACGCAAGTCTCAACTATGCAAGTATCCTGTTTACCATCATTACCTACCCAATTTACATTTTAGCCTCACATTTCATGTTTATCATACCATTCTCACACCTAACTTTAGGTCTATAAAACATTCTAATGCTCTCTGAGAACTTAACACAAAAGTATCAAGATTAGTTTGACAACTAATTAGCACAGCAGATTCTTAATTAGGAGGTTTGTATATTGCTGTAATTGAAGTAGATGAGTTCTACAGCAGGGAAAAATGCACCTAATTCACAGTGATTTTCTCACCATATGGTTTCTCTCTAGAGTCACCCATACTTTTCCATGACATTTAAATATATTGGTACAGTTAATCTCATTTATTTCTGCTACTAGAAGACAACTGTTACATTAGTTTGAAAACTTTGTAGACAGACAAAGCTACAATTTCAAAAGTTTCTACAGCATTAAAATTGGTAATATGGAATGAGATCATAAACATCTTAGTTCAGGTCCTTTTATTAAAGTAAAACGCACCAATGCCTCTCCTGCTTTCCCCAAGCTGCAAGTGTGTAAGACGAAGAATTTGCCCCTAAAAATCAGTGCTTACGGAAAACTATCTCAGAGGTCAAAAAAACACATGTTTTTGTTTAATCCTGTAGCAGCATATGCCACATATTTGCGTAACAGGTTTCCAAAATATCAGACTACCTAATAAAATATCAGTTAACTAGGGAAAAAAAAATCATATCTGATACAAAAAAAAAAAAAAAGGCCAAGACAACTATGCAACTGTGTTAACCAAGCAATGACAAGCCTTAATTTGAGGCAGTGGTTCCCAACCTTCTGCTATTAAGGGACAGTGAGGCACTTGCCAGCTATCACATTTTGTTCCACATTCAGCATACCCAGCATATTTACAGTAGACTTTGTCTTGTAGTATTTGTTAGCTGTCTAACATTTCTCCTTCTTTGCAGTCTTAACAACCATTCCCTGTTCTCTCTCTCACCAAAAGGTCATAAGACACTTGCAGCACTGCAACTTACTGGTGGTTCCCTGTGCTAGAAAACATTTTGATAAGCACAGAATGATGGTCTAACAATACTTGTCTAGGTAACACTGCATATTAGTGCCTTATAGAAAGCTGCAGGATGAGGAGCAGGAGGTAGAAGCCACTTGAAACCTTTTAATACTTTTAACAAAAGCAGAGTTAACCCACAGTTCAGCAGCCATCCAGCAGCTATTGTTCTTCTCTGCTTATTTTACCTCCATCCCATCCTATTTTCCTCCGATCTTCTGGTTTGTCCACCTCAATTCCAAAGGATCCAGCCTGCGAGTTTGAAATACCTGGATACTGCAGGGGCTGTTTCTATTTACTATAAGTACATCTGCAGACCACAGCACTGGCATTCAAAAAAGCCAAGTTAAAACAGCCAACCTCCATTCATTCCTTTCTGTATGAATGTTCTGTATGTCAAAATACCTGAAAACTGCACTGATACAGCAGCACTTATTTTAACTTGCATTACAAATAAACTGCACATGCTGTTTTACAGACAATATATATTTGTAAACTTGCTCATGCAAAATTAGTGTGCACAACAGGGATGTTTGTTTTCTAATCCCCACACTTTTAAAAAGGACATTTATGTCTGCTTTTTTGAACTGTGCCCAAACCCTCTCTTTAATATAAGAAATCTTGCACAGAATTTGTCTGCCAGTCAAATCAATTTATGAAGCTGAAATAAAAAAGAAAAAAGTTATACAAAAACATTGTGCACCTGGAGGGTTGATTCCCACCCACCCCTCCTCCTTTTTGCTTTACAAGTAGAAAGAGTGAATAAAAGAAAAAAAAAATCATGGTCACAAAATTTTAACATTTTAATCCTAAACATTACAGGGCAAATGGATGTTGGAACCTATTTCCACACACCATGAATCAACTTTTTATTCCCAAATGTGGCCAAATCCACTAAAACAAGAGTGGTTAACAAACTCTGGATTATGCAAATACATTTCTGGAATAAATGCTAGAAAAGCAACAATGGGAAAAGCCAACTGTCTCCGTAAAGGTAAATAAAGTGGAACAATGTGTAGATTAGATACTTTTCTGTTTCTTACTCATAACCTGTCAATTCAGTGCATCATATGGTTCAACATAATGGTCCCCATTTTAGACAAACATTTAACTAGTGTCCATTGATTCCAAGTTAGTGGATGATGAATCTTTTTGGATACTTTCAAAGATGGCTGCCAGCTCAGGGTTAGAGCTTATTTGTGACTGAAATTCACTCATTAATGGACTCTTCTCTGCTTCTGGAATGGTTAGAAGCGCTGCTACTGCCCTCATAGCAGATCTTTTCAGTTCATCTTGCTTTTCAAACTCCTGTTTCACTGAATTTGCCTTTACCTAGGGGGAAAAATTAAAATATGTATGAAACTTTTCCTCAACCCTTTCTCTACGCTCATCTTAAAAATACACATATATACCTTAAAGACCTGTTTCGTTCCATACGACCACTTTGGACAGCTTTCAAAATGGCTTATGCGCTAAATCTAAGCGGCATTAAACGGGGGGAAAATAATATTAACAGCAACTAATCAATCTACCTAGAAGACTTACCACCACCAGTATACAAACTGACTGAAACTTGAAAATTGCAAGTTAAGCAGAAAAAGATGAGCTATCAAGTCAACTATCAAATCAAAACAATTATAGCAGCCAAATTCCAACTAATAAGGTCAGTATAAACATTACAAAGTTATCACAATAGTTCTAGGATTCCAGAGTACAAAAATTTCAGCAAAAATGTTTACCTTTATTAGAATAACTGGTTAACCTTTTGTTCTAAGTCTGAGATATTTCAATGATACAAATATAATTTATCATTAAAAGCAGTCCAACTTCTTAATCTCAAATGTAACTGAGATAACAGTAATGGAAAAGAAAGGTAAAGCAGGCATTAAATCACTATCAGAATGTAGATGTATCCAGACATGAGTAGTAAGGGAGTAGGGGGTGGAATGAGGAACAACTGTGTCCCAATAATCTTTTAATCATTCACATGAAGGGGGAAGGGGAAAAGAAAGCACTGATTGACATTGCACACATCCTTCAGCAATCAAATGCTTGTCTGCAATAACATTGTCATCAAAAGTCAAAAAGAAAGTGAGTATTCCATTTTTAATGTTCATAACAAAATCTAAGACTTACAAGCTGCCCTGCCCAAGTGGCAGTTAGATTTATAAGGAACTAAAGAAATACCAACCAAAAAGATTAGATAATTTAAAAACCTAATAAATGTACACTTTTTTCTATGTGTAACTTATTTAAAATATTTAATACATGTGTAAGGCTCCAAATATTTACATTATACTGCCTATTGCAGCTTATAAACCATTGTTCAGGAAACAGCAGTGATACAGCTAGGTCCTCAGCAGTATACTTCATATACAAGTTCATTTATACTTCTATGAAACAACAATACAAAACAATTCATGAATAGAAGTTTTAAATTTAAAGTAATACCTTCGTTGTACATGTAGCACGCAAAGGTTCAACAAGTCTATCCAACCTCTGTAGCACTGCACTTGGACAAAGGGTGGACAGTCTCACCAGCATTAAAAAGGTTAGCATCTAGTTTGAGAGAAAAACAGTTCAAGAATCAGTTAAGCTCAACACTGGCAGATATTCCCTAGAATACTACGCAACCTTTTTAATAGTAACGTTTTAAGAAAAATGACAAATACACTGAAATATTTAAGCATATGAAATACTCTTACCATTTCAATCTATTCAATATTTAAAATATTTTCACTTATTTACTGCTTAGAGAGAGAAAAGTGACACCTAACCTTAATGTCATAGTGATCCTTCAAGCCATCTTCAACATGGTTTAAGAATTCAAAAATATCTAGTCTATCCAAACAGCTATCCAAAAGGGTATACATGCACTCAAAAGCTGCTTTTCTTATGTCCAACCCGTCATCAACTGTATGCTTAAATGGTCCCATTTCCACCTGTCAGCAAATAAAAACAAAGTTAAAAAACAGTATAGTCAGAAAAACTGGTAGCCTATTTACATATTTTTAACCTTGTTTTTCTCAGTTAACATACCTCTCTGATTAGCTCCTTTCTGACTTTTGTTTCATTGTAAAGGTGAGGAAGCACAGTATCTAACAGGTCCCTTATTAAGGATGGTTTATTGTGTGCAGCCGAGTTAAATGTCACTAGGGCTACCCTCCTGACGTTGAGATCTGGGTCTTCCAGTGTTTTCAGAAAATCACCTGCAATCGCGTACAGAAATAAATCAACCAATGAGGATTTTTCTTCCTACTTTAAAAATATTCTTGCTTAGTTTTAACCTTTCAACAAGGTGTTTTTAACGCAAGAGTTACTTTAACGCAACAGAGACTAATACCTGCTATTTTAGCAAGACTACAGAAATATATGTATTTACATTCCTACAAAAAATACTAATATATTTGAGTTATATAATATTTCACGTAACAAAAAAGAAATAGAAAAGCAGCTTCAAAGTAAATGGCTCTCACTTAACACTATTTCAACCAAATGCTTGTCTATTCGGTTTTTAAGGTATAGTCCATAAATTAGTGAAAATTATATTTAACAGCTACGAAACAATAGCTTTCTTCTTCTCCATTAAAGTCTCTCAGAAAATGCTTTAGAAAAGCAACGTCAAATTCTGCACTTTAAGAATTAAAGAACCTCTCTCAAGGAAACTATCAATATTGCTTTTTAACTCCTAAATTGGCGTATATTAAAGAGTTCCTAAATTGCCAGAAGATAAGCCCACTCAATATACATTAACATAGGAACACCTCTATCATTCCACACTCAGCACACTTTTCAGATCCCTTAGAGTTCTGCAACACTGCTTTGGTAAAACAAACGCCTGCAGGAATATATTGTATTTTTGCCCATGTCTGTGATGTTTTACTAGCAACTTCTGCGATGACAAAAAATTTAAAAAGGAGAAAAACAGCGTTTAAACATCAAAATGACTATTATATACACAAAGGTACTAGGTAACAAAACTAAAGATGACTGAGTTTTTTGAACTAGTAAATGCTAATAGTTTTTTTGATTGGAAAGCCAAAGAATTTCCCCAGAAACCAAAGGGGTAAGCCAGCTACAGTGCAAGGGGGGGGGGGGGGGGCGTGTAATACACACGAATCAACATCCAATTCTTTAAATTGTTAAAAATATTTCAGCTCAGTGATGAAAAGTAACATACAGGAACTGGCATCATTCTTCAATAAATAGAAACCTTGCTCTCTACAATACTGTATGTTTTAAAAGATTGATCTTTCCCCGCATTAAACTGAGTGTGGTATACACAATTTTACAGATGTTTAAACCCGTAATCAATCCACTATAAAACATTCACCATAGCATATTAGACAAATCTACAATACAGTTATGTCATACAAATGAGAACATATGCACGGATCAAAAAGCCACAGCATTACAACTCTTTGTCGCATTAGTGCTCTACTGAAAGCTCTGATCGCCTTATCCGTATACAAAAATACATATGCTTCCAATAACTTTCAAATCACAAAGCATTACAGAATCACAAATATCTAAGTTTACTATTCGTCACTTGGCAACACTCAGAATTCACATAAGCGTATGTATTTTGAGTGACCGAATGTCACAAATATTCCCAAGTCCACCGCAGTGGGTGAAGAGACGGTACTCCTTACACCAAACTGATACAGGGTGGGAGAGAGGGAAGGAGAGAGGAAGAAAAACAGCCTTTGGGAACCTTCTACTGTCATAGCTTCACTACGCACTACTTTTAAATTCCGAGTAGTAAAAATATGTGATAAATAAGCTGGAGTTTCAATAGAGATAACTGGCTATTGAGGAATCATTTTGTAACTGTTCCTACCAATAGCTATCACTAATAGCTATCTAATTCAGATACCTGCAAAGTACTACTCTTCTGAAAAAGCAATGAACAGATTTTAACTGTAATTCTATTGCTTGAAAATTTAGAAGCTGTCACTAAAAAAAAAAAGAACTTACCTATGCAGTTCTTCAATAGTGGGTCTATGGGTTGTGGATGGTCAGAAATAGTGAATTTAACAGCCGTAACCACTGAACTTCGAGCATATGACGATCCTAATTTGAAATATAATTAGGGATAGCATTTAATATTAAAATAGAACAACAGAGAACTTAAACCATATACAATTTTCTTTAAAAAATCTGATATTCTTTAGGATTCTTAAGAGTCAGTTAATTATTACTAGCACTATAATATGTTTCTTCCACACACGTACCAGTGTTACATTTTAAACAGAAAAAAAAACATTTAAAATAAACATTTGTCTTCTAGAGAAAACACAAGCAATGAATCTATTAGAACGGATTTTTTAAGTCATCAAGAACAGGTCTACAGATTCCACTCTTATAGCAGAAGTAGATGAAGAAAATATTTATGTCAATACAGGTCATGATATGAAACTGATTCACAAATTATGCACAATGATCCTTCAACCTTCCTAATCCTTATATACTTGAGAATTTCAATCTGAAAATTGGAAGCGGTGCAATTTATTCCAACATGTCAATATGTTGCAATTGCTCTGTCAAGTAGTGCTGTCCCTTGTCCCTCATGTTGCCCCTCTGAATTTTACAAATCTTTGTTAAATAGAACATAAGTTGAAATACCATCATCTCAAAGCAAAATATAAAAGCAATTCATGTTACATAACGCTAACTTCCTCAAGGAAAAAGGGAAGTGCAATGGCTAGAAAGCACATCCAGTGAAAACCAGGTGGAAGAACTCAAATTTTACACTTACCTAATTAAGCTTCACATTGTTTTTGAGGGGAAAAAAAAACCCCTTCATTTCTGAAGTATCACAAAATTTATAAAACCAGACAAATTTATTAATAGGGAACACAACTATCTGCTACAATATATACATCAGTTACCACTCACCTGATGCCAAGTATCCCTTGAGTCGCGGAAGCAGAGTCTCCGGATCTATTAAAGTAAGCTTGCCCAAACATTCAGCAACAACATTCCTTGTACCCTCTTCTGCACATTCACAGTGTTTCAGAAGTAAGGCCCAGATGTTCTCAACATATGGTTTGAGACCAACCACTGATGCAGAGCTAATTATTTCTTTCAAGGAATGAAGAAGAAGGTATTGCCTCTTAGGTTGACTGGTTATTTCTTGTAAGACAAACGGCAGATATTCAGGAAGATTGCCAACACTAATACTGCCTAATGCATAAGATGCTGCCGACTTGACTTCTTCACTAGGAGAGGAGAATGCTTCTAATATTACAGATTTCAGCTCAATTTGTCCACTTAAGTCAATGTGATGCCCAACTTCCCCAAGAGAAAGCAAAGCCAAAAGCCGAATGGAATCCGTGGACCTGGAGTTCTTGACATCTTGAATGAACTGACCTACAACAGCTGGTCCTTCCTTAGGGCAAGCTCGAGTAAGGGCAGCTACACATTTGGCAATAGAATAGTAAGACTGCTTGTGAGTAAGTGCTGTGCTCTGCGAGTACACTGGACCCGTTAACATGCGTAGTAAATCCATATAGCCTAAGTTATTTGTCCCAGTCACAACCAAAGCTTGGAAAAATTCTAGCATGGCACTAAGTGCTCCACCCTGGAGTAGAGGCGATCTCACCAGCCCAATAAGTTCGTTGAGAATGGACCCACTGATCTTCGAGAGGGAGGATGGATATACTTTAGCCAGTGTTGTAAGAAAACTGATGGCCATCTGTGATACATGCATATCACTTTCACTAATGAGAGGTGGAAGCTCATCCAGGACAGCATCAATCATGGCAGCTGTCAAGCTGTCACTGTAATTTTTAATTAAAATATCTAGAGCAGAAAGAGTGCCCAGTTTCAAAGCTCGCTGGTTTTTTCTCAAAAAAGAGGCAAGAATAGGAACTCCTTCCCCAAGGATTGGTCTTAAATCTATCTTCAAAGGAGAACCAGCAATCAGTGTCATGGCCTTCACTGTAGTTAACCGAGTGATCTCATTCTTCAGTCTCTCTAGGAAGATCTGAAGTGTACTGGGCAAGTCTGTGCCGAGGCTGTCACCAAGGCTACAAATGATTTGACCCATGCAAGATATTGCCCTCTCTTTTACCTCCTGATCAATGTCAGCAGCCTTTAATCTCTTGATTGTACAAGTAAATAAATCTTTGATGTAAGGAGTAGCATCAAAGGAAGAAGGCTGGTCTAAAGGACGAATGACCTTCACAAGTTGTTGTGTAACCAAAAGAGCCTCTGATGTTATCTTGTAAAAGGGGTCACCAACACAAGCTACTACTGGAGGTACCAATGCTTGAACATGAGGATGAAAGACTTGGGGAGAATGATTACAGAGGATCACATACAAACAGGACAAAGCATCTATCTTCAGATTAGAAGAACTTGATTTGTCATTAAGTGAAAAAATTATTCCTGTAAGAGAAAAGAAAAAATTTATTTTTAGACTGTATTTATTCTCTTAGAACACTTTAAAATTTATGAAGGATGGCAGCTATACTGATGTTTTCTGCTCGCAGCCTTTCCCAAATGCCTCCCAGCCCCCTTTCCGCTATTTTATTCAAACAGTTAGTCTTCAAAGCTCCTCTACACAGAGGAGCCACAGAATGGACCAAATGATGGTTTGTGATGCCTTTTCCTAACTATAAAGGAATTCTGAAGTCTGATCTTGTCAAAATTTACTTTTCCTTGTTACTTCAATATTCAGTATTTTAGGTCCCAAAAGGTAAAGCACGGGCAATATTTTGCTTAGCTGAGAAAAAAAACAAAGGCAGAGTTTGATACTGCAATTAGAGGTAAATCAGCTTTTTTTAAGCTCAGAAGGAAAAAAACAATCTTACAAACAATCTTACTTGTTTTCAAGATTAATGGAAACATGCCATTTAAATATTTATATGGATTCACACAGTGGCTGATTATTTTGCCAGTTTCTTTAAATAGAAGCAATACTTCAAAGCTGTTATAAAGAACATAGTCAAGATTAAAGGTTTAGAAACTTCACATCCAAGTTACTTTTTAAGTTAACAGTATGCTTACCATACCTGGTACAAGTACAGGAATATGTTGTGTTAGGGCTCCAGGTAACACGTTTACTAGCTCAGTCAGCATGTTAAAGCAACACTGTCGAGTCTTCACACTTTTCTCCTTCATCTGTTTGTGCAAGGCTTTAACTATGTTGGGAACCTGTAATCATCACATTTCTGTTAATTGGTTCAATAGCTGACATTTCTTTCATCATAGATCATGGGGGGAGGGGGACACATACACCTCTATTTCCAATTTCTCTGCAGAACCAAAGAAGTTTGCATAAACATTGTGAAATGAAGCTTCAAATCAGTTACTATCTCAAAAAGCATTACAGTAATTTAATTTTAAAAGATGCGCTAAAAAAGCAAAATTAGATTTGCATCTATAAAACAATTGTACAGAGGAACATTTGAAAAGTCACCGTAATAATTTGCTCAGGAAAGGAGAAATTTTTTTTCAGCACTATCCCTCTTTTCTTTCTTTAAATACAACACATTGTAACAAATCAGGTTTTACCTTGATCATTAGATTTTATTTCTATATTACTGAAAGCAAAAAATAGTAAGTTTACTCTGATAACCTGGCTAAACTATGACATATAAGTTTTAGAGGTGAAAATAAACAACTAAGGTCAGGGCACAGTTTCAGTGCGTCTTCCAAACATATGAAATCTTGACAAATAACCTGACTCTGAAGCATCGTCAAAGGTGTCTCTCCTTGCTCCATTGCATCAGGATCACAAAGCCAACTCTGCACAGGTCGAGTTTGTTTTAAAAGAGAAAGATATGCATGAAAAACATCTGCTTTTACATTCTCTTCACGCTCTTTGAATCTGGCTATTAATGCAGGAGATACAGTTTTGTAGAATTCTGGAAGCATTTCATGTCGCGTGCTAACCACAGCATCCAGACATTTAGCAGCTGCACGCCTCACTTTCCAGCTCATATCATCATCATCACTATATTCATCATCGCTCCCTAGAAAAAATAAATTATGCATATGTTCAAGTCTAGACAATCAAAGCATCAAGTTTTATTTTAAACAATTAATAAAAATACACTTAGGTTCTTTGTGTAAGGCATACGCTTCTCTACCTATTTCTTTCGTTAAGTGCGTTAAAAAAACACACCTAAAAAGCCTTGTAAACTGCCTAAATTTTAAGACCAATTTTCTCTGCTAATTTTCCTCACACTAGTCCTACACATCTATTAATTTAAACTGCAAAAGGGATAGAGTGTTTCCCCACCATATTTACAGCCTGACTACTGATTTAAAGCATATTCCTCTTTATTTACCATATAAGCAACAAGGTAACAATAATTACTAGTTGATCAAGATTCAACAAATTGTTTGTTTCTTTCTAGGAAGAAATCAAATCATACCATTATGCCCCCACCAAATAACAGCGAGTATACAGTAAGCAATGCAAACTTTTACTTTTTATAAGCTAAAGCAATAGTATATGGCTCACTGATTCTCAAAGTAACGAGAACATTGTTCTGGGTCCAGATTGCTTGTGTGTCCACGTTTTTATAAAACATTTTTCTCCCACAGGAAAACATTAAGAGTGTTTTGTAATTCTAAATCGTTTCCAATTTTAAGCATCGGGCAACGATATTTTCCAGTGAAAAGCAGCAAAGAGCTCTTTCCCATGCTGAATATGTAGCTTCCATTCATGAACTGAATTTCTTCTCACTCAGTTATACCACCCTACGTGCTTCTGCCTTTTTACATCTAATTTTTTCCATCTTTCAATGTTAAATATTTATCTTGTACTTTATATTCACCCTTGGAATTCCTCACCGCAGATACATGCTGAAAACTAGACCACCATGCTGTACTCTTATTCTGAGAGGCGAGTTCATAAGGTATGTTTAAAAGCAGTACAAGAATTGAACATACAAGCATACAAGTCATTCAAACGCTAGCACTCAGTAGCGACACCAGCCATTTCAATTTCCTTAAATCGGTGCAGGTTAAAAATCACAAGCTCTTCCTCTCCTCAAAACCAAAAAAGAATATACCTTGATCATCATCATCACCACCATCAGCATCCATAGCATTTTCATCTTCATCTTCATCATCATAATTATAGTTAGGATCATAGGTAAGATATTTTAGACAAATGTTTATAATAGTAGATACATGAGGATAAACTTCTTTAGGACACCTGCATAGTACAAAAATAAGTAATTTCCAGATTACCTTAAAGAATTAAGGTATTTCTGCCTAAAAGACTTCATGTCACTTACTGTACTTTTGGACTTTAGCCAAGTGAAGTACTGTCAATGCATCCATTACTATGAATTTTGGGAGTTTTGTTTGGTTAGTTTCTTTTAGAATTCAATTCCAACAGAAATTCAGTTCCCTCTCAAACTTAGAATACAAATACGTTAGATCACAATGAATACAGATAAATATATTAGAAATGAGGACTGGAAAAAAAACATGAATTTTACCTTGACAGACAAACGCTAATAAATACAAACACAGTTTTTTGGCTACTTGGCAGTCATACAATCCCTTTCTCCTCATATCAGTTTCTAAACTACTGTCATAATTCTTGCCATTAGCAACATCAGAGGTCAGCAAAAAATAAAGTCTTTAAAAAAAAAAAAAAAGAGACTAAAACAAAAAAAAATCCCACACATGGCAGCACAATGAAGCATACCCTGTCCTGCCTATAAGTTCAAGAAATTAAGGTCAGAAAGGCAGAAAGTACAATGCTACCATGTAACCTGATGTACTATACAGAAAGACTGCAGAAGCTCAAGATATGCCTTCAGATAACAAGTATTTGTCACAGCTATTGGACAATAAATATTGTCTTTATTAAAAGATTTCCCCTCTTCCCCCCAACACGCACAAGCAGCTCTGGCACAGGAGAGTTTCCAAAGCACAGATATAACACATTGCTTAACAGTTAAATTGTAAGATAGAGTTAAAGGAACAGTTCCAGCTCAAAGCCTGCAAAAATACTTGGTACAAAGGAGACCACCTCTTCTATGAGGAAGTTGCTTTAATCCCCCTCAGTTACTCAAAAAGCAGCAATGGACATTTATATCCAAATGGCACACTATCATATCCTAAGAAAGCCCAAAACAGGCACCTGAGAATAACTTACCTCCTAACAAAGGATTCAAAGGCTTGAATGCAATACTCTCTTAGTTCGTCATCATCTACGTTACAAAACTTTACAACCAAAGGAATTATTTTCTCAAGATATTCACCTGATAAAAGAAAATTAGCAAAGTAATTACTCTCATCTAAAAACTTTTAACATTACAGATAAACTACATATATTTTCTTACCTATTCTATGACCTGCTTGCCTACTGATAGCAGCGATACACTGTATATAGGTCCTAGTTGTTGACATGGAATCATTTTTAGACAGCTCTGTCAACAGATGTTCAATGAGGTCAACAAAAACTATATTGCCACAACTCATAACCAGGTGACCAAGAGCAATGATGGTTCTTTTCCTCACAGCAAGCCTGGGGCTAGTCAGCTGGGGGAGCAGACAGGTCAGAATTGAAGGATGGAAGTTAACAAGCAGTCCTCCTTGCCTTAAAACAGACAAAACACAAACTCAAACCAATTGAATCTAGATTACTTTGTTCATATACTCTACAAGAGTTTCTTTAAATATTCCCAAAGCATCGCACAAATTCCAATTACAGTATTTAAGCTTGTAGAACTTTTCAAAATAAAAAATGAGTTTACAATATATCTTCAAGGAAAAAAAAACATTAAAATAAGCTTAAAACTACAGTTCAAGCGGTAACAGTAATCAGTCTATTAACCAACCGATCTTCCAGGCATTCACTTTTTTTTTTTCCTTTAAAGTTCAATCTATACTTACAACAAAATCTTACCATACCATCTCACATAACTTACAGAAAGTAACTTCAGTTTAATATTTGGAGAATTACAGTTCAAAGTTTATGCACCATTTCCTACTTCATCAGCGTTTTGCAAGAGGGACGTTTACCTGCTCAGCATATCAGCCATGATATCCAACGCCTCTAATTGAACAGACACATCTTCCTGCTTGGCTATAGCACTAGTGAGACGTCCTGTGATCTTTTTGCAAACGTTAGCCGCTAATGCAGAACCTGAAAGTACAACAAAACCTCAGCACTGTCATAATACAGAAGCACAGGGATCATCTTTGCAACTATGGGAAACTACCTGGTTTTAACTTGAAGAAACTTTCCTCCCACCAAAATAAGCTTGAACAACCAGTTCCTTTTGCTAATGTAAAGTATGCTGTACATTACAACCGAAAGAGTATGTGGAAACATACCAAGGAGGGGTTTGTAATGGTCCCACATAAGGTGCATCTAACAGAAAGGACACTGCTTTTGGCAAGGCAAGCAATGGGGAAAAAAAAATGCCAAGATAAGCCTAGAATAATAAATGAAAGCACTATAGGTAAAAAAAACAAATGAATAACTAAAAGTTACAGGAAAGCACAGAAGTAGTCGTCTCTAAAGAACAGCTGCGTAATGAAACAGCAAGATAAAGTGATGTCATGCAAAAAGTTACTTAAGTCTACCTGAAATAATACTGAAACATTTGAGGAAGGGAGGGGGAATACATATACATATATATATGTAAAATATATACTATATATATATATATACACACACACACACTCAAACTATTTTAAAATTCAAGTATTAAGTAAAAACATTTTCACAACTGCAAAGTTTTTGTCCCAGAACTGCCTAATATTGTTCAAATAGTTATGTGAATTGAAGCAACTCATCTGTCATAATAATAGCTACCCCACAACTAGCTCTCATCTTCATTTGCATGAATATTGTTCAATAGCGGAATCTTTTTAGCGATTTGACCATTTATAAAATCTTCAAATGAAAGATTTTCATGAATTTACTTGTGCTTTGTGAGTCTGAGAGCTTTGAAATTTACATTTGCAATTAACATAAGTTATTTCCTATAATAAAATAAATTTATATATTTATGGCATATTCCCAAATATAAGCCCGAAAACAATTTCACAGTAAAAATTACATAGCAATTGGACAGTACAAACATATCGTAGAGGCTAACAAAACAGACAACAATATAACATTGAATTGACAGTAAGAAGTAACGTTTAGGTTCCTTTTGTATTAGGAATACTGATTATATTGAAGATTTTGCTACAGCTATTCTTAAGCTTTACATCCATCCTCAAGATCTACTTCTGTGTTGTGTAGGCCAAAAAAGAATAAAAGCTTAAATGGATTTTTAAAAAAAAAAAAAAAAATCAATTCCTATATGCATCCCACTTCTACTTGATATAAACATGACTGACTTGTGGGCTTTCAATAAAGGATGTAGAAATCTGAGTAGTTTGGTAACCTAAACTTCAGAGCATCTAAAAACTCTGCATTTCCAAAGCCTTTTCAGTCACTTTTCCATTCTCTTTCCTACCTTGCATTATGATACCTGAACAGCACTTTAGTTAAATAAAAAAAAAAAAAAAAGTAATGTTATTAACTGATGAGCTGTTCATCATTGCTACCTCTCTTGGAGGAAAAATTGCCTTCATTTACAAATTGTAGGTAAATATTTCACTAATTCAACAGGCATTTGTTAGAAAAACAAGGTAAATTCCTAAACATTTACCAGAAACTGAGACAAGAAATCAGATCATTAAAGAAAAATACCAGAGTTACACTCAATTTAAAAACATTATCAAAAAGCAAGATGAGATTTGACTAATACTAGTCTAGAAATGCTCTACCAGACAATTATTAAAGTAGGAGTTTTTACACTCAACTTGCTACACCAACATTCCTATATTGCAAGTTTTTCACATTATTTTGATGCTACAGGAAAAAATATATATATATATATATAAAATTAGTAAATCTGGAAGTACAGTCATGAAAGTCATCAAAAGAATATTTCTACCATACATTTTTCCTCTGATAGAAACCAATTCAAATGTTAAATGAACTACATTTCCTTCACTAAAGGACCCTGCTTCTTACATTTTTAGAATTAGTAACAAAAAGAGATAAAACTAATACTTGACACTCCGAGTACAAAATGCCTTACCACTGGAAGCCGGGGGGAGTTCTCCAATCACAGTTTTAAGGCCAATGCTTGAAATGTCACGTAACTGTTCCTTATCTGAAAGCATGTTTGTACAGAGGGTATCTACAATGGTCTCCACTTGATACTCCTTCACTTTACTCACCAAAGGGCCGAGACTGTATAAACAGAACACAAGGGTATTACATCTGCAGTTTTATTTAAAATCCCTTATTTTATTTCACTATTTGCATTGATTTCATAAACTTTATACTGCTACCAAAGGTAATCTTAAGTAGAACCTTTTGTAAACTGAAAACCTTCAACAGATTAGGCTAACATCCTTTCTCAGTAAATCTAGTGATAAAATACTGTTTTAATATATCTGCTTTTTATCTCCTAATGGAAAGTTTTTGCATGATTGTTCTGCTTCATAGTCTCCAAACCTAAGCGCCTCTTCCTTCTCACTTAATGCTGAGATTGACAACAAAGTTACCCAGACACCAACTCCAGTCTACACGCTTAACCATCAGCGCCTACTTAGCTCACAAACGAGCAACCTACCTTCTTTATTACTGCATCTTTATTCGAGACAAGGTTTGGGTCCAATATGATGTACCCAGGCACTTATTCTGTACCTTAGAGTGCATTAAAAGGATGCAAATGATAAAACATAAAACAATGAAATGGCATGCCCTCTTTCACACGGGCTCCAAACACAGCAGACTAAGGTTCCCTCTTTTCCTCAAAGCTGAGTTTTTAGTCACTCCAGCTGTTCTCAGGATTATGGCAATTTTGTATTCCCTTGTCACCTGCTCCTATTTGTTGAAAAGACTGAAACTGCAGAACGTCCTAGTAGAGTCCAGTTCATTGGTAAGAAACACAGCATCCTCCTAGCCCTATCACTTTCAGTGTCTCCCTTTTGTTACTGCTATGTTCCAAAAGGGAAGTTATACAAAAACAGCAGCACCTTATTTTGTCCCTATTTTCTCCCTTTCAGAACTAGTAAGCAAGTCTTCCACTTCATTCTTCATACTCCAGGAAAGACACGGCCCTCAGTTTTACTGACCTTCATAGTAAAGCATATGCATCACGTTTCAGCTACAAACCAAATTCTGTCCTGTTACAGATCAGAAGATTTGGAGGATCTTGCAGATTTTATGTAATGATACATGAGACAATTTCCAGCTTGACTTACATATTCTACATTTAGCTTGCAGTGCTGGAACCACTGGCTATCGTAATGACCAACATGTGTCTCACTGGCCTTGGATCCCTGCATCCATCTGTTGCTCTTTATATTGCTATTGGAAGGATGATCAAGCATCACCCATGTTTTTGCTGTGTTACATCCTACTGTATTTAATTACTAAATAATGTATGACTAAGTCTATTAGCTGCTGTGCAATAAAGGTAGTTAGAAAAAAGTTCATTACTTCATAAAATCTCCTTTGTACTTAAGTAATCAGAAATAAAAAAACAATTTTTTTTTCTATACTGTAAGACAGATACTGTCAGCAGTTGGCCGCAATCACCCAAGCTTTATCAGGAAAACCAGAAATACTGCCTGGAACTTCATCCACCAGTGAAAAACCTCCAAAAGAACTCAAAGAACTTACTCTTTCCCCCACTATGTCTCCAACCTTTCACTCCATATTTGCTTATCTAATTCCTCCCTGTATTTTTAAAACACCTCCCTTCAGATAAAGCATCTCAGATAGGAGAAATTAATTTTGAGAGACTTTCAGTTACTTGCTCTTTTCACGTTCAAATATACTACATGAAGCACAAGCGCATCAAATTCTGGAGAGTGAGCACTGACTATAAGCTGGATCCCTATCGCTTCTCATAGAAAGGAACAGTATAGTTAACCAGCTACTCTGAAAGACATAGCTCCCTTGTTTTTAAAACTTCTGCTCTCTGTATTCTGATCTTGCCAGCTACATTCTCTCTTTACATCTCCGTGGTGACATCTATAATACTATTATCCCAATGATGAAGCATGCTTACTAATGAGACTTGTCAACACTAGAGGTGAGATGTGGCATGAAGCTAAAGTTAATAAGCTCTACCAGGCTTCAGTCCTGCACTGATCCATACAGAATCAAGGGTAGGAGGACAAGAAGCTGCTAACAGCCAAACAGGAGAAAAAGCAGAGGCCTAAGGCAAGAAAGGAGACAACAATAGTGAGGATCATCTACAGAAAAAGCAGGAATCATGAACTTGAAGTGTAGCCCACTAGCAGAATTAACAGAAACACAGAAGCATCTCCAGCAAGCTACCATTTGTTCTTATTTCCATCTGAATTACAGACATAACGGATACCATTCTGACTTGGTCTTGTGCACAGACCTTCCCCTACTTATGTTCTGCAGCTGCTCCAGGTGTCCCACTGAAGAAATTCTATGGTCCGATTCTGAACAGCACCTCAATGCTTTTCCTCCCAAGACACACACTTCAAGTCACACATATCAGCACAAATTCAACTAAGTCCAAAGTAAGAAAGCACTGCAGGTTTTCAAGAGATTCTACACGTGTGTCCTCAGTGCAAGCTTTGAGGAGCAGTAAAGCGTGAGGGCTTTAAGCAAGCTCTTCATATAAAAACAATCTGGTTAGATTTGAAGAGTTCAAAGACATTTGTTAGCTTATTAAGTTTAGGAAGCATTTTTGAAAAGCTTAAGCTTTGCTGCTGATTTTTGTGGAAATCAGGGCCCACCTTGCAGTACAGGAGTCCAAGTGGGCCCATGCAATGGTTCCATCAGATTTGTGCTCTTCTGCTGAGAGGACAGAGTGCTTAAGCCACTTCAAAGGCTGCAATAACAGGTGAAGCCTCCTACTGCAGCTGACAGAGCTAGACACTACTGACAAGAAGTCCTAGTTGCTTCTGTGGCCTACAGAGGAGGGTCTGAGATTTCTATCTGCCCTTCAACATTGTACACATTGGATACAGTGCACTAACCTACAAATCAAAACCACAAAACTGAAACGTATGGAAATCCATGCATAAACAAATACAAAAGCAGCAGCATCTTAAAGTCAATCACAAACCGGTTATATTAGAACTGCATTAGAATGTCATGCTTCCACATAAACTTTTGTTTTTTCCATACTGATCTTTCATACCGTATACATCTGCTTTTCACTACAACTTGTTACCACAAAGCTAAGAAACTACATTGATCTCTATAAGGGTTAGCAAACACCAACCGGGGAGAACTGAAATCAAACTGAAACCCTATAGGAAAACTGAACGAACCAACTTATCAAAATAAAATAGCTGTAAGCGTGTAATAGTTGTAATTTTGTTTTGAAGCAAAATCAAGTTTGCAAATCTATGCTACTGTTTACTAAAAATACATCAGCTTTTTGAGGCTGCAAAGCAAGCTTACCCCTGCTCAATCGATTAGGACCATATGGTCAAGACCTTATTAAAGCATCTGAAATATGCTTAAGTTTAGCAAGCAGATAGTGATATTTGAAAAATAGATTAGGATAGTTAACAATAAAACAACTTTCAAACTAGAAGCATGTCTACTTTAACTCCTTTGTCAAGTGTAAACGCAGCAGCCTGTCCAAAGATGGACTATCTTTCTGTGTTCAGAAAAAAATAGTAATATATGGAAAGTTGGAATATATTAATTTGCACTTCAGTTTTCACTGACTGGGAAGCAAATACCAATTATCACACTTTTAAAACTGTTCAGTCACAAGTTATTTTGATATACATAGACAGAACTTTTTTTTTTTCCAAATTAGCCTTTCAAAACAAACATTCCACAAAAAATGACCCAGATCAAATAATGACACTAGAAAAAGGTGGGACAACCTCAAATTTTGCTGTACAATATAATAGAGTTGCTACTTCACGGTACAAAGCTGAATCCTGGTTAACAAATATCAGTATGCAGTTCTGGTAAACTTAAGAAATTCAATACATTATATCTTAACTGTATCAGATTACTGGAAAGAAACTATGTGGAGGCAAAGTATTTTCTTTCAGATCTTAGTGATCACACCGGAAAAAAAATGTACTTGTTTTTATTTTATTCCATAAGATTCTGATAGTGATTACCTCTCAAGTGTGAGCCTCACATAATCCCAGTGCTTTTTTTTTTTTTTTTTAGTCCACTGCCCAAGCAAGGGAAATCTATAGGCAAGCAGAAATTCTGTCTGAGCTAGCAAGATACTAAGCTGCCCATAGACTATTATTCTGAAAGCAGATACTCCAAAATTCAAGTCAAGTTATGCTACTCAGGCAAAAGCTTACTTTAAGCTTAACATTACCTATTTAAATCTTTTTCATTCTCACATTATTGTGTTAGAGAAACCAACAAGTATTTCAAGACAGAAAAATCATTCTTGAGTCTTTACAGACTAAAGAAGAAAGTGACCTTCTGGCCTGCGCTTACAGTATGTATTGAGAAAGAAGCATACAACGCACAAGAAGACATGCAAAGTGGTCTTTCTTGTTTTACCGGAAATGGCTCTGCAGTTTAAGTCTAACCTCCTAAGAACACAGTTGGCTCCTTGGTTCACTACTGGCTAATAAAACTGTCAGCCAGTTGCAGAGGAACACACAGGTTCCCATTCAGAGGGAAAGGCTTAAGGCTACGGTATTCATTCAACACAAAAGTACTAACATTAGCTTAGGAGCTTAGTTCTGTACTCACCAAGAATGACCGCACAGAAAGCTCCATAGTTTTTGTACTTTCCTGATCTGCTGCAGAAAAAAACCCTGGTTGCTGCATTGTTTTAGTAGTGGACATCTGAGGATGTGTAGCTTAATTCTAAAGTGCTGTCAACAAGGAAATGTTACTTTGTATTAATTTTATTGGTTGACCTAGGTGCCTTGCATCAGCTCCATTTTTCAAGGTGACAGACTATAACAAACCAATTTCTGAATGAGGACATAGTTAAAATTCCAGGGACTTTGTTCATTTTGAAATTGTGATTCCTCCTTCTAGACAGGGCTATTGCCCTTGCAGCTGCATATGGAAAAAAGGGGTACAATCTGGTCAGAGTTTAGAAGCATCTATGGGGTAACTTCAAAATCATGTGTTCCACATTCTTCTGAATCTCAATCTTCTATTCTGCCTCAGGGTCAAGTTTTCCACTCCTCTTGTCCCAAAGGCTCCCAAAAACACTCTGAATTCCCCAAACCTGTCAATTTCTTGCTTTA